CCAATCACAGCCCGGCACGTGTGGAGTTTACGGACTACGGCTGTTTGAAAGGTTTTCTTCCATAAAATTAATCAATTCTAGACTAATTTGACTCAACATTTCCAAAACACATATAATTTTTTGGGAATAATCTGTATAAACTATGCTATAAACAACAAAATTGTAGGATTACTTACCGAGTGTGCACCGTTCGACGTCACCATTGCTTAAGCTTGTTTTCATCACAGAGCAGCGCACCAAATGGCGGGCGTGTTTTCTGATAAGTTATTTTTCTGCAAAAAATTTGTTGAACTTTGGAGACACCATTAATAGAAATAATTTTTATGGCCGTTGAATAAGAAATGTTTTTTTCACAAGAAATGTATAAAATTACAGTACTGTATTAGATTTACAGTACCTAATTTATATACTGTACAGACGACAGTAAACTCAACTTACCCGCCTAAACTCTCCGTAGCGTGTAAGTAGTTCAGCTGCTCGTCTACTATTGGTCCAGATTGGACCATTTCTGTTGCGACACGAGTTGGCGATGACATTTTACCGCATTTTACGAGTCTCTCTTAGCGTCTTTATATGAATACGGTCGCAATTTTTTTGCCGCGATATACGAATCCGCATTATATGAACCTGCATTATAGGGGGTCTACTGTACTTTCCACTTGCTATAAGCTTTGCAGCTTTTTATAATAAAGTTGCTGAAACATTTGAAGGATATTTTTGTTTTAATTTATCAAAATAATTTTTTGAGAACACATTTTTCTTAACATTAATACAGTTTTACATAGTATGTGTGAGGGTTGGACCTAACAAAATTAAGGGAAAATGTTTTTTCCTTCTTTCGAAAGTTTTTTAACTTACAACAGGAGAATGATCACATTTCCTTCTTCTTGAGTCAGTTCCTTCCCCGAGGACTCATAGAATGTGTCACGGGGAAGTAAACAAAAAAATTTGCGATTGGCAAAAAACAATAACGTGATTGGGGAGATAAATAGATTGAAATGAAAGACAAAGGGGAGTGGAGGGCCAGAGAAAAAAAAGATTTGGTTTAGAAGAGTGTTGACACTAAGAAAGGATGACGAGGTTTGAACCCAACCCACAGACGGCTCCAGGAGAATCTCTACTGGTCTAAGTTACGTCGCTCCATACAAGCTACGTTAGAGGTACGAAAATGAATATTGTAAACTTGTTCTCAACGCATATAAGGTCGATAGAATCTTGTTGTTAGTTATGTTATTTAAGTTGTTATCTAATAAATTTTTGTTTTATTGTTAAATGGAGTCCTTTGCTCGTGTATCATCAATGCCTTAACGACAGCCCCTCTCTGTCCCTCCACTCGACCTGACAAAAAGAATCCTGACGCTTTGGGATAGTAAAAATAGACAAGCCATCCACTGACAAGTGGGCAGTTTTTACCAAACTGTTGCTGACAAAAAGAGGTACTACCTCATCATATCTCCGATGACCCAAATATGTGTTTATTGTAACATTAGTACTATTGTAAATTTAGAAACATATAAAATGCTTCTGTAACTGTAACTATTCAGTTTCTGAAAAAGAAAATAATGATGCAACTTTATTTTAAATTCATGCTAAAATAAATAAATGAAATTGATGAAGCATCATAATACTTCATGCAAAATGATTTTTGTTTTTCCAACTTAAATATTTGAATTTATAGAACTATGATATTTTTCACACAACAACAAATAGAATTAATTAATTTCTCCTATATGTATAAAATACACAGTGCACTGAAGAGCCAAAACATTATGACCACTCTCATATTATGCAATTGAATGAAACTGAAGGACTAGCACAGCACTTGCCTATATGAAAAACAGTATAAATAAAACATGCTAAGCAGCAACATCCTGTTTAAATAATTTATTACAATCTGTGCATAATGTGGCCCCTACTCTATCTAACTGAATCCACATTCTTTGCCTTGTATGAAAATTAACATCTTCAGATGACCTGAAGCTGCCCACAAATTTTTGTATCAGTTCATTATTTTAAGAAAAAGAATGATTCCATCAAATAATAGTTTCACAATGAGTTTTTTTTTTTTTTTAGCATTTTTCTTCCTTTTCTTCCAATGAACTTCACAGATATCCACAGACTCATGCACTTGTAATGTAGCAGCTGTATAAAAGTTCAAATGCTCATAACTACTGCAAGGTAATATCTTAGAAAAAAATGTTTTAGTTAGCAGTTTGTTTTTGATGAAGAATCATAATATGCAATAAAAATTGGGTGTTCCCATTTAAGAAAATGAAGTTTACCCCATTTTCACTGAATATAGTACAATCTATGATGAAACCAACATCTTGTGGCACCCTTAACATTTTTGTTCAATAATTTTTTTGTAGATTTGCATATTTTTCAAGTTATTCCAATGGATTGATTAAAATCAACAACACTGTATATCTGCTACTGAAATGAGTAAAAAATGTTAAATTTAAGATCTTTAGCAAATTATCTAATTTGTTTCTACTTATAAATGTTAACATTCTATTGAATCAATTCTGAAAATTTTTTGCAAAATAAATATTCTGATTGCATTTCCATATCTCAATAGATTAGATTTTGTTTTAGATAACATGATTAGATATTTTGTCAGAAATATTAATACAAACATCTTATTACTTTTTTCTAATGACTTTATATTTCTAAATTTGCATTCTTAAGCACAAGACAAAGTGCAGTCATCTCTTACTGACATATACTATAAGAAGTTAATTTAGACAACTAAAGATGGTATTACAACTAAAGATCTGTAAACAGATCTTTAGTTGTATACTATCTTAATGTAATAAAATTAACTCTCAATTCTTATAATTGCTTTCAAGAAAGGTAGTATGAAAGTTCAAATTGATACACAATTATTAATGTCTTCTTCAATAGTTATTATCAATTGTAATCAAGAAATCTCGTGTAGTACATTTTTTTAAGAGTAATAGAACTTTTGATCCACTCTATTAAAAAAAACTGAAATAAGTTTACAATGCCATGCATGTCTACAAGCTGATTAAATTGATTTCAAAAAATTTTTGATAAGAATAATGTTAACATTATATATATACTGTATATAAAAATTAACAATAACTTAATAAATATAACAAATATTGTGCATATGTAATTAAATGGCTATGTATGTTGTTACTGCATGAAATTTGTGATATATTGGATAGTGTGCACACATTTTTTATAGCTTATTCAGGTATCCTTGAATCTGTGTTTGTAAATTTTGATGCTCTCCATGTATTTAATGAGGGTCAGTGATATTTTTTTATGATTGATGTTTTATTCCGTAAAGCCACATTGTCCTGTTGAGATGCAATATCTGAAAATATGGATGAAAAGTTTCTCACATCTCATTGTTGTTGTTTTATCCTAATTAGAAGTGTTTTGAAGTTCTCTGTCTATACAATTGCATTCTCAGTCAAATTATTAATCTCTGAGAGTGACAGAATTCCAAGAATGGTGTTATATTTTTTATCCATTAAGTAAACATCTTGAAAACTGGATGAAGTTCAAATTAACACACCAACACTGAAAAAGTCAGAAAAACATACCCTTTAATGGACAAACTAATGTTCTCAGTCATGTTAAATGGTCATCGTCAGGTCATTATCCACTAAGGATAGTGACTAAGTTTTTGACTACTTATTCCAAGTCTTTGGCTTCCAGTTTGTAATGATTAGTTCTTGACAAAAGTGGCTTTTCTATTTTCATATTAAATAAATAAATTATTTAGATGTGGCTCAACCATCTTCTTAATAAAGAAATTACTTAGAGAAATATTTTGCTACACACTTAGAACATACAAAGTTATCTAGGAAACTGACAAACCAACTTAGAAGAATAGGAAGGCAATGAAAGATGAAGATAAAAATTAAAAGTCTTTTTCCAGTTAGAACATTATTATTATTTTTTAAACAATATTGTCTAGGAACAATATTGTTCTGTTCTCAGAGAGCTAATAAGAAAAATTATAAAATATTTTATTAAAGTAGGAATGTTTTAATTTTTTACACTGAGTAGAGTACACAATAGGTAACAAAGTATAAAATATTATTTAAGATATTAAAATCACAAATTAAACATAATGCAGAGCATAACAATTATTTTTAACAAATGATTTTGATGTTACCAAAGCCAAAACTGGCCAAAAATGCCACTGCATGATAGCTTGAATTTTTTTCTTTGTTAGTTGAAGAATGTATAAAAGAGAGCTCTTTTAAAGATGAATGTCTGAAAGTTAAGGATTGCCTGTATATAATAAACTAGCAGACCCCGCCACGAGTTGTTATGGCTCAAAATGTATCTATTATAAATTTATAACATTTCCCCGTAGGTGGAATTTTTCGAAAAATTTCTTCTTAGTGTACATTCTCTTGACGTACCCTATTAAAACGCAATCAAAAACGCAAAAACCCACATCTAAAATAGTATAATAGAAGCATAGTTCTTTACCGTAAGCCTTAATTCTAACCATCTCCCTTCAGTTGGGTCGAATTTCGACATGTATATTATATAAAAACACGTGCGTTTTCGAATGCAGCGTTATGTCAAAATTTCAAAGGCATAGGTAGGAACAAACGAACATTACATTTTCATTTATATAAATAGATAGAAGATGATCTGCTTTAGTTCATTTTCACAGAAAAGCATAATGCCTCACAGAAAAGCAAACTTAGGGTGTCGTACTCATACCGCCATCTGTTGGACATAAAAGCCTTAACCTAGATTATATATTTTAATTTATATGAATGTTTAACGGAATAATATACAGCCTATGTCCACCCTGAAGTTCCATTCCAAATATTGGTGAAAGAATTTTTGAAATTGGATGAGTAGTTTCGGAGATTACCTGCTGCATACAAACTTATTTTCTTACTTACATACTTACAAACATTACCTCTTTATAATATTAGTATAGATGGATATACTTTAATGAATTATTTTAAAATTACATTATAAAAATTATTGCTTTATAGCTCAACAGTTTGAAGAAGCAATGACAAATGAAGAAAAAGCAAAACTTTATGAAGCAATTGGTTATCAAGAAAATGCTGTTCCAGCAGAATATCCAAAAGAAGTATTAATATTAATTATTATTATTATTATTATTATTTTTTTTTTAATGTTTAAAATTTATGTACAAATTATTTTTAAAAAGTATTCATGTAAATAACAAAGAAATATTTTAAAAAAAATTGAGATGCAAAGAAAAAGATTGAGTTTCAAATATAAACTTTTAAAAGAACACAAGATACTTGATTATTTAATCAGTTACAGATTCAAATTTAATTGATAAAGGTAATTTGATATGAGATATTGGATAAGAATTATAATGAATATCAGCTATCAAAAGCTCAAAACTTCAAGAAATAAAACTATAGCTTGATGGATGAAAAAAATAATGAAGAAAAATTAATTTCTTCAAAATTTTGTTTTGAAATTTAGTTTTAATATTCTGAAGTTGAAAGAGAATTAGATTTAGACTATTTAATTTTAAAAAATGTTTTCAAAATTTATAAGTTAATTTTTTATATGACTATTATTATCAATAAGACACAGTGCTAATTATTTTTCAGGAAATAAATGTATTATTTGATAAATTGTTTTTTGAAACCTATTACAGTGGTACCTCAGGATACGAATGCCCCAGCATACGAAATTTTCAGGATACGACATGAAATTTGAACATATTTTTGCTCCACGATACGAACAAAAACTCACCATACGACGTTACATTATTTCGCAGCGCCATTTTTTATTCACTGCTGTTCATTGGTCTCAGTCTGCATGTTTGCTTCGTCATGGCAGGATTTTGCTCAATAAAGGAAATCTTGAGATATTATTAGAAAGTGACTAATTTTATTGAAAAGAAACATCCGAAAAGGTTCACACTGGCCGTATTGCTGCTCAGAGTAATGACATTTGCCTTTTAGAAACGTTTTAAAAAGTCGGCAAAGCCAAACCTCTTTGGATAGATGTTTTACCAAGCGACCTCTATCCAGTGAAAGTGCTGGTGGAANATATATATATATATATATATATATATATAAAACAACAATTTTTTAAATCTTTTCTAAGTTATTTTTAAGTTATTGTTACATTATGTTATGTAAGTTAAGTTTTAGTATCATTTCCCTTCTCCCTCTCTTCCGCCACCAGTTTACACCTCCACTGTCGTCTATCCTCAAAGATGAAGTGCAAATAAAACTACATTTTTTTAATCAATTATTATTCTGTTATGGTTATTTATACATTTACAACTACAAAATGCTTTTTTAGTGTTTTCCTTACTACAGTTATTTTTTTTTTTAATGTACTACTTAGCTTTAATTTGAGTGTGTTTTTCGTGTTGGAACGAATTATTTGGTTTTACATGTAATCGTATGGGAAAAAATGATTCACCTTACGACATTTTCATGATACGATCTCAGTTTCGGAATGGATTAATTTCGTATTCTGAGATACCACTGTATATCTCATTAACAGTTCCAAACTTAACAGTGACATTGAATATTAAATGTAAAAAATGTAGAATAACTACCATTCAAATAATAAAAATTTGAAATAATTTATAAACATTTTGAGATGATCCAAACTCAATGATCAGCACTTTTTGTATAGAAAACAAAAAATAAGTAGATCATAACTGTCTGTTGAGAATAATTTGAACATAAGACTTTTAATATTTTAAATGACATGAACTAAAAAATTAAAAAATATGGCACACCACTTAACAAAGAAAAACTTGAAATTCCAGTAAATATCTTAATCAAAATGTTAAATTTGACAAACATTTTCAATCTTACTAGAGATTTGCATCAGGTTAAATTCAGTGTTCCATTTTGGAATACTTCATGGAATATGACATATTATGAATTTTAAAACATAGATAGATAAATACAATATATTTGTTTTTATTTATAACATCTAAAATGTATGGAAAAAGGAATAATTAAATATATTATTATGGATTAAAAAATTCATGCATATGAGGTTATAAAGTAAGTAAAAATAAGAAAAATACATGACAATATGTGGGATGATGTTATATAAATAAACACTTGAGAAAAAAAGCGGGTGGGAGCTTTATGGTGCATTGTCAGACAATGAAATAAAGTTTGGTTCAGAGAATCTGATTTCCACATCAAACCAAACTTTATACTACTATCATTGCATCATTCCGTTTATTCACTGCATTTTTTAGTTCAGCTCTTCTCCAGTACTGTGTTTGTCTTTCCTTTTTTAAATTCTTCCTTATTTTTAAATCTGTGTGTGTGAAACAACTATGAGACTAAATTTAAGATTGCTACAGAAAGATCCTCACATTTGATTTTATAAGCAATTTTAAAAGCCTAAAAATAAAGGCCTGAAGGATCTACGAAATGCCAGTAGATCCTTCAGGCCTTTATTTTTAGGCTTTTAAAATTGCTTATAAAATCAAATGTGAGGATATTTCTGTAGCAATCTTAATTTTAGTCTTATTTGAAAGTGCAGTGTTAACAATTTATTTATTTACACATAGGTTAAACAAATGAATGTTGGTATTTACATTAATAGCTAAACTACTAATTAACATAATTTAATTGTTACATCTTGTGCAATAACTTTATTTTTGTGTTTTTTTGATGTGTTAATTTACATCGTTTATTATAAACATTAAGTCTCATGTTTAAATTATTCTTAACATCAGATTGTTTCACTTTTTGTGCTCTGTACTAAAAATGTTGATCATTAGATTTGAATCATCTCACAATTAGAATGTTTATAAAACTTTTTTATATATATTGAAATTTCTTTAACCTATATTACTACTGTTATAAAATACAATGCATTGGATTGTTCTAGTATTATTTTTGTATATTTTGATATAGATTTAAGTTTGATGATGATGATGCATTATTTGAAAATGTTTAGAAGAAAGAGAATATTACAATACATTTTAACACTGACTAGTTGTGTAATTTTTCTAATAAAATTTTATGCATAAATAATTTATTGATTATCAGATAGAAAATAGTAATAAAAAAAAGCTTCTTGTGAGATAAAATTAGATCCCATTATATATTTATGTCTAGTCTTGATAAAAATTTTATTACTACTGCTTGTATAAGTTTTGGCTTTACAGAAAATTTTACTGGTTATGTAAGAGATAAGTATTAGCCTAAGTTTGTGTTAGTCCTATTATTGTCTTTATAGAGAGTAAATGATGATAGATAATGATGAGATATTACAAAATTAATCAATTTTAATATACTGTATACCAAAGGAAAGCAAAAGTCTTAACAGGAGTAATATAAATGAAAAACATTACTATACCAGCTCTATTTGAAAAGAAGAGGTATTTGATGAATAATGATGATCAATAATCCAAGGAAAATGTAAAAAAATAGTTAACAAAAAATAAGCAAAATCAAATATTTCGGCATATTCTTAAATACGAGGGTCGTTCAATAAGTCCTTAGAAAAAGATAGAAAAACAAATTATTTTAGGTAGATTTTTTTTTATTTTTCAACATAATTTCCTTTAAGCTCTATACACTTTTCCAAGCGTTTCTCCAACTTTTTTAAGCCATCTAAAAAGTAAGATTTTGGAAGGTCCTCAAAATAGGCATTTGTTTGGAAATGACTATCTCGTTTGACGTGAATCGTTGTCCACCAAGCCATTTTTTTAAATTTGGAAATAAAAAAAAGTCACTGGGGGCCAAATACGGTGGATGTGGTAATAATTCAAACTTTAATTCCGTGATTTTGGCCATCGATCCTCTTCCATCAAGACAATGCATGGGTGTGCACCCATGCATTGTCTTGATGGAAGAGGATCTTTTTCTTTTTCAAATGAGGACGTTTTTCCTTGATTTCTTTGCTCAACCGGTGCAATAATGATGCATAATACTCTCCAGTTATTGTTTTTCCTTTTTCCAAGTAATCGGTGTAGATGATTCCACGTGTATCCCAAAAAACTGTGGCCATCACCTTCCAGGCCGATTTCACTGTCTTCGCCTTCTTTGGAGCCCTTTCGCCTTCAAAAACCCACTGTTTTGACTGTTCTTTGGTCTCTGGAGTATAATAGTGTATCCATGTTTCGTCCACAGTTATGTATCGACGCAGAAACTCGTCAGGATTGTGACGAAAAAGTGCCAAAATTGCCTCAGAGTCGACCACACGATTACGTTTATTCTCCACTGAGAGCAAACGCGGCACCCATCTTGCCGAGATTTTTTTCACACCCAATTTTTCGTGCAAAATTGAAAACACTGTACCTTGTGATATGCCTGTGGCCTCAACTATTTCACGCACTTTGATTCGTCGATCACTCAAAACCATATCGTGGATTTTGTCAATCATTTCGGGAGTAGTCACTTCCACTGGACGTCCCGAACGATGTTCATCTTTTGTGGATGTACGACCACGTTTGAACTCATTTACCCAATTGTAAACAGTTGCAAACACAGGAGCAGATGTGCCATGAACTTCATCCAACTCAGCTTTGATCTCTTTTGGTGTTAAGCCTTTTAAATATAAGTGTTTAATCACCGCTCGAAACTCACTTTTTTCCATTTTTCTAAATAAACAAAAGTTTCTTGCTTCAATTGACAATAAAAATTAAACCATATGATGGATATGACTGAGATTTTCACAACTGTCTAGTGAGACATCATGCTTACAAAAAATGCGCCATTTTTGAGGCTACGAGCGCCATCTATTGGATTTTCTAAAAACGTATTGAACGACCCACGTACTAAAAATAATAGTAACACATTTTTCAAAATAATTATATTAAACAACAAACATGTTTAATAAGATAAGTTCTCATCTTATTGTATGATAAACTCCAATAAGCTAATAGATACATTTAATTATAAATTTATATGCTAATAAAGAATGAATAGTTGTGTTGAATAAAATGATTATTAAGTATGCATGTAGCAGTAAAATCTTTATTTATTTATTATTTCTTGGATTTTCCAGATATTGTCTGTATTAATAAATTTGCTTTATTTTAAACAAAATTTGCTGATTACAGATAATATAAATGTTCTCAAAGATTGTTATTCTGGACAATAATCAACATTAAAGTCATACATGAATGGGAATAGATCTTACAAATATCTTTTACAAGTAAAAGATATATTTTTTTGTATTATATTTTAGTAATTTAAAATAATTATTAAAGGATAAATATTTGTAAAAAATTTCAATCATGGGTTCAGAAATGATTCTTGTCTCTCATTTATTAAAAAATATTTAAATTGTCAGAGTAAGTTAATAGATATTTTAATTTTAAGCTTTCTAATTTAGTTTCTGAAAACCAAGCTAGAAAAAACTTTTATAACCTGTAAATATGAATGTTTTTCTAAAATCTCGAAATAATGCTGTTTTTTATAATAAATTTACTATATTTTACCATTCTTACATTTGGTTTTTAATTATTGAATATTTTATATATATATAATTTTTTTTATTTTAGTTTGTAGAGAACAAAATTACATTTCTACTCTGTAATCTTGTAATTGTTATTGATGATATGAGGTGAGATTTCTTAAATTTTTTAATAAGTTTTTTGTTTTTTAATGATTATTTTATAAACTCTGTATAAATTGTAATGAAGAAAGAATAATTAATTTTGTGTTTATTATTTGACATTTAAAAAAAAAATAAATTATTATTTATTGTTGAAAATAATTTTTTAAAATAACTTTGGTTAAGATAGAAATAAGTAGAATCTTAATTTATATATGTTATTATACTGTTTACAGCTACATATTTTATACAGAGTGTATCAGAATGACAATCCCCCAAATTTTTAAAAATTTGGGGGATTGTAGAGGATGAAATTTTGAACGCTTTGATATAAAGAACCTATAGCCGGAAATGAGATATAAAGTTACAGTAGAGCGTCATTTATCCGAAAGTTGGTTATCTGAAACATCGGTTATCCGAAAGAATTCCAGTCGGCAAATTTAAATTTTTGCTAGTGCTGTGGCGCTGCAATCTTTGGCTATATCTTGGGCTACTCCAATATTTTTTTTGTTGATGTGTGTGTTTTAGCTGGCAGCACTGGCACTTTTGTGAGAGGGTACTTAAGGACATGCCAAGATTTGAACAAATTTCAGCATGGGATAGATTAATATATTTTTTTTGTACATAATCGGTTATTTGAAAATAAGTTATTTGAACAACCCCAGTCCCCAATTGATTTGGATAAATGATGCTCTACTGTACTACAGCACTTTGCACATTCTGTGCGGTCGGTAACTGAATGAAACAGCAGAATACAGTATTTATGACAAGTTTTATTGACAAAACAGTAGAGTACAATCAAACTGTACATCAAATCAGTGGCTGCATTACTTTAGAGTAAATGTTCAATATGACAACCACCAACTTTGTTATATAATGTGCAATGATAAACCATGTTTTGTCTGACTCTGTAAGATGCCACACTCCCCTCTGATGGTATTAAATGCTGTAAAGATGCGCTCCGTAAGCTTATGAACTGTTCCTACAGTTGTTCCGTACACAAGGGACTCACATTGCAAGGGGTGACCTGAAGGATGACAAGCACTAACTACACAATGTCCTGTACACAGGCTCAGTTGTGTGTTTACAGTCTTTCATCCACAGCAATAACATGATGTCAATGGACAGAAGGGTAGCTACCAAAGTGAAGGGCGGTCAAGCACTTCCTACCGCTGTAGACACTTTAGTTCAAATTTCTGGCTATAGGTTCCTTGTATCAAAACGTTCAAAATTTCATTCTCTACAATCCCCCAAATTTTTAAAAAGTCATTCTGATATGCCCTGTAGAAAGTTGTATTGTTTTTGTTCTTGCATAGCTATCTTATTATTTAACTAGCAGATAAGCCCGGCGTTACTCAGGCAAAAAGTAAGGATAGCTAAGATTAAGATTATTATGTTATAGTCAATCTTACCCATTTTCAAAGAATGCAAGAATTAGATCCCCCTGTTAACAAACTAATTAGAGAATTTTTAGATGGGTTAAAAAATGTTCAATTTCTCACAAAAATGAAAAAACTGCATCTGCATTGCTTTCTCTTAACACTTCCATTGTTGACAGTTTCCCATGGGGGAATTGTTAACAACCTCACTCTTGTTGGTGGAATTTTGAAAAATCCTTTCTTAGTGTATATTCTCGTGACGTACTCTATTAAAATGCAATCAAAAATGTAAAAAACTGCATCTGCACCTGTAAATCTTGCATGTTGCTTTCTTTTAACACTTCCATTGTTAACACTTCCATTCTTAATACATTCATTGTTGATACTTCCATTGTTAACATTTCCATTGTCAAAGCCTTAACTTTGTCCCTCTCCCCTGGGGAATTTCAAAAAATCCTTTCTTAGTGTGTGTTCTCGTGACGTACCCTAAGTGTGTACCAAATTTCAACTTTCAACTCCTAACCATTTGGGCTCTGCACTGATTATTATTATCATCATCAATTCGTCTCGATTATATATAAAGATTAACTCTTTACAAGAAAAAAATATCTTAAAACATAAATATTTAGCTATCATATTAGAAAGATCTGCTTACAGTCATTTATTCTATTTTCATTTATTGTGTGATTTCATAAATTGGATTGTTATCATTTTCATTTTCTAGTTTTGTTTTTTATTAATTTCTGATATTTTCTTTACCATAAAAGTAATAGATGATTATTGTATAAATGACATTCATTTTAAATAAAACATACTGAAATGTAAATGTATATACATAGATTTAATTAAATTGAACTTTAAGATAACAAAAAACTAACGTTAACAACAAAAATTAAGAAATTAATGTTAACTTTTAGGAGTTGAATAAAATTTGTGAGAAAAAATTGCACAGCTTTAAAGATCTACTTCAGAGATTAAAAAGCTACACTTAAAAACATTTTAAACCCTTTAATGTTAGTTTATTCCTCATAAATGTAAGTATTTCAGCAGTATTATCACAGAAATTCATTAATATCAATTGCAAAAGTGTGATGATAAAACATAAAGTATTAAATATAATAAATCTGAAATAACATATGAGAGTCAATGTATAAACTGTATCTTAACAGAAAAAAATTGCTGTTACATTGGCCATTAAGACAGTTCAAAGCTGATATTAGAGAACATGTCCATATCTAATATGTACTTTATTTAATAGAAAAAAATATTTCAGTGGTTACAGAGATATTTTACTATCTCTTTTACAAAAGATTAAAAATCTATAGAAACTTCATCATTCTAACATAATACAGCTTGATTTTTGTGCCAAATATCAGATAAAAGGAAGGAAAACTCAGTACAGCATTAACAGTTTTTTATTATTGTTAGCACTTTCAATGAACTTCATTATAGTTTGATTTCATTTTATAGAAATTTGGTTTTCTTTCATTTCACAAATAATAATGGAAATTAATGATTGGATATGTTTATTATGAATCTTTTTGTCATAGTCAACTCTATTTATAATTAGAAAAAAACAAGTAATGATATGCTAAATTTTAATTAGATAAAAGATTTTTTGAGACTAAGTTCATCTCACTATCAGATCAACAATATAAGCTTCAATATTTATGAACAAAAAACAGAATATTTTTGAACATGATTAATGGACTTGAATATTATTTTCAGCTCCTAGTGCATTATACTTGTTTCTTTTTCTAATTTATTATGACAAAATTATTCCATTTTTTAATATCAATCAACTTTTATGATGGAAATAATAATTAAAAATTGTTTTTATTTTAGCAAAAAACAAGTCATGAAGCTTCAATTACAAAAAGTTTCTACAGAAATAGAACAAAGACCTTCAGCAGAAGCAATAAAGTATGTAAACTTCAAGATTGTATATAATTAGTGAAAAAAATGAAATTCAACTTTTGAAATTAAATAGTTTATCTATGTTTGAATGTGTTTGAATAATTAAAAATATCATTTTCTTTAAAAAAACTAACTTGTTTATATGGCAATTTAAATAAATTTGTTTATTTCATATGGTATGAATGCACTGATAATCAATCTCAAAATAATCAGTATTATTAAATTATAAATAAATACAGTTTTAAAAGACACTACAATTTGTGCAATATTAACATTACAAAACTTTATATCAGAATGGTAATCCACAGATGGATGCATCAACTCTTGTTTATAAATTGACTGACCTGAAAAATGCTTTGTTACTAATTGACATTGGGTATTACACATTTTGTTTTAAATACCAAATTTCTCGAAATTCATGGAAAACCCAATAAAAAAAAAATATTACTGATATGAATAATATATAGTTTTTACTTTTCACTGATATAAAAAAATTAACTGTTACATTATCAGTTAAAAATGTGTTCAAAGTTAGAGCTATGTTGTGAGATGGTTTTTTTACACTTTCAGATGAAACATCTTGTAATATCAACAACAATGAATTGGATTTAATTAGAAATTGCTCACAGAACATTTCACAGGGAGAGTTAATAACCATCATAAATACAAAATATAAATGCTAAGAATATTTTTAAGAATATATTTGTAAATAAAATTAAGATTGGCTATTTTTCTGTTTCTTATTGGGATGTGCAAAGTGACAATCAGTCTTTCGTGGTTCCTGTAGTCCTTTTCTTGTATCCATGGGGTCTCTCAGCTGATGTTGAGAATATCTGATCTAAAGCATAATGTGTTGTTGTTAGAATTAAAACTAGAGATCATTAGTTGTTTAGATACATAAACAGTGCACTCAAGTGAAAATAAATTTAAAAACTCACGCCAATGTTCGTATGACTTATGGATGCAAATTCACTGAGTTCAGCGTTAATAAAGTTTCTTTAGTATTAACACAAGCACTTTCGACGAATGTATAATCGTCGTCTTCAGGTGAAAAGAATAAAATTTTAACGAGACAAACGTGCAGAATATTCCAAAGGAACAAAATTTTGTTCCTTTGGAATATTCTGCACGTTTGTCTCGTTAAAATTTTATTCTTTTCACCTGAAGACGATGATTATACATTCGTCGAAAGTGCTTGTGTTAATACTAAAGAAACTTTATTAACGCTGAACTCAGTGAATTTGCATCCATAAGTCATACAGTGCACTCAGACAGAGAAACAGCTATATTACTTCACCACCTAATGCTTGCTGAGAAAAATTGTTTATTAAACAAACATTTTCAACCTATTATCATAGGCTAACTTCAGGTTTTTTAAATTTGATAATAAATCATTACAGAAATAGAATATTCAGATATTCAAATTTACATATAAACTTAAAATTCTAATTACAAATTTGAACTTGAACAAATAAAATTTATGTATAATGAACAAAATATGATTAACAAATGTAAAATTAAGAAATAGTAAAGAAAAAATTAAAATATTAGATAAAACTTCTAAGTAAATATAACATAAAAGTAAAACAAAAGTTCATTGCAGGGCCATACATGATGTAAGGGTTTTTATCCCTTAATTTCTTTTCTATTATGTATTTTCATGCTAAGGACAATGTGTTTGCATCCCTCGCACTCAGGCATTGGTCATTAATTTTGCTCTTATATATTTATATTTTTTCCATGTTCATTGCAAGAGATGGGGGAGTACTGCTTTTACAATGTTTACTTCCTCCCATTGGTTTTACTGAAGCTTGATTTTACTTTTATTATTGTTCTAATATTATGCATAGATTTTATTTGTTCAAGTTTAAATTTGTAATTGGAATTATAAGTTAAAATTTAAATTTAAATATCTGAATGTTTCATTTCTGTAATGATTTATTATTGAATTTATATGATAATAGGTTGAAAATGTTTGTTTAATAAACAATTTTTCTCAGCAAGTATTAGTTGATGAAATAAGATTGTTGTATCAGCTGGTTAGACAAAGGAGAAAAGGGAGTTTTTTTAGCCAGAAGTTAGTGTAGGAAAAGAGATGCTATCAGACACAAAAGCCAGCTGACAGATCATCATAGAATTTTATACAAATTCTAAGATGGTCTGTCAGCTAGCTTTTATGTCTGATTAGTTAGACTTGATTCTGATTATGAATTTAAGAGAAGAAAGGTAATGAAAGATGCAAATGACATAACACTTGATTACATACTTTATTTGTGATTCATTCAAAGGAGGAAAAATGAGGGAAACCAATACAGGGCTCTTTGTTATGTAAAAAGGTACTATGCATGAATGGTACTATGCACTTGAGACTTTCATGATCTCAAAGCCAGCAATGGTTGGCTCAGAAACTTTGTTACAACACAGCATAAAGAGAACTTTACATTGAGGAAGAGTTGGAATCTTCAGCTTCTGGCTTTAAAATTAGCAAAGAGTGAATCACAGCATTGGTTTTTACAAATACAATAGAGCATCATTTATCTGAATCAATTGGAGACTGGGGTTGTTCGGATAACTTATTTTTCAGATAACCGATTATATACGAAAAAATATATTAACCTATCCCATGTTGAAATTTTTCTCTGTTGCATTTTGCTTCACGTTGAATTTTCATTGATGTTAAGCCTAACGTAAACTTTTTAAAATAATAATCATGGCTATTGTATCGTTAAAAATCATTTTTTTAATTTTTACAAACAAAATAAATACTGTAAGGTCTCTTTTTATGCGGATTATTTTTATGCGGATTATTTTTATGCGATTTTGAAGTAGTGCGGTTTGTATTTCATCCAAAAATTTCTTGGACAAACATACATATAGGCTTGTTTAGGAAGCCCGCGTATAGACAGTCTCCAAAAATCGTGGAACGCTCAAAGCTCACTCCATTTGTTCCACTGACGTTTAACTAATGACGTTCCACTAACGTTCCACTGACATTTGTTCCACTGACATATAACGTTTATGGATGTAAAGGACAGCTAGATCTACCTTAATCGCTTTAGTTCCTAGCACTTTTTGATATAAATGTAATTAAACATAAAAAATACTTAAAACTGAGAAAAACGAAAGAAATGCGTTAATTTTGAAGAAAAAGCATGTAAGAATGAAGAAAAAGCAGCATGCAAACTTTCTTTGTCTCGCCCTTCTGTGAAATTTAACACTGATGAGTCATTGTTTACACAGCTGGGTGACCTTGAGAACATCTGGTTTTGGATTTTCCGGGGCATTCTCATAGACGTTGCGGGAGGACAAGGGTTTAAAGTAGGGTGAATACTAGCTGGCCATATATTTTTAAATATTTTTTAAAAATTTGGAGACTTAAAAAACATTCCAGAAATTAAAAAAAAAATTTTCAAAAATGGCCTTAAGGACCGTGTTTTATGTAACGCTATGTAACCTGCCCAAGATATCTCAGGCGAAGAACTAAAGAGTTAATTAATTAAATTAAATTAAATTAACTCTTCACATCCAGTTGTCAATGATTTGTTTTTAGAGTGAGCTTTTGCAATTCGGGGATTCTCCTTGTACATGACACTTACCATCAACAAGTCGCTATTACATCATTCTGAGTTTCGCATTGAAAGGTATAAACTGTAATTGTTTTGAAATTAAATTTTATTTTAGTGGTGTTTTGTTCATTTTTATAATAAGTAGCGAGTATAAATTTTGCTGATTTCAAGTTGCAGTAATAAGCAGCCTATTTCTTTTAATTTCTGCAAACTTTTTTATGCGGTTTTAAGTTAATTTTAACTCGTTGTTTTGGTTTTATGCGATTTTAGAAAATTACGGAACGTTCCCTACTTTTTCAAGGCAAGTAAAGTCTTTTTTTATGCGAATTTTTTATATGCGCTTTTCTGTAGAACATATCCACCGCATAAAACGAGACCTTACAGTATATTGAAAAATATAAAAACAAAAAAAAATTATACTTTAGAAGTTAATCTAGTATCAAAAACGTTTGATTTAGCATGACACACAGTCCCCAGAAAAATATCACACAGAAGTGCCAGTGCTGCCAGCTAAAACACACACCAACAAAAAAATATTGGAGTAGCCTAAGATATAGCCAAAGATTGCAGCGTCACAGCACTAGCGAAAAATTAAATTTGCCGACTGGAATTCTTTTGGATAACTGATGTTTCGGATAACCGATTTTCAGATATACGACGCTCTACTGTACTAGTGATATCTATGCATTGTTATTGCTGGTGATTGGAAAATCCAAAATATTTTTGAAATTCACTATGTGTGATTAAAATTGAAGAAACTATATAAATGAAATTGTGAATTTTATGCAAACTTTATACTTGCTACATGTTTGTATAGTCATTCAGTACAATATATTAAATAAATTTGATCATTATTTAGTTATGATACAATTAACACTCTGAATGAATTATTAGATATCTTTAAATTTATTTTCAAGTGAATAAATAATTGGATGATTTGTAACAATATCATAGGTGAATAAGGAAATGTTCAGAATGTAACTTTTTACATCAAGGAATATATATAGCAAAGAATATCAAACTTCACAATTAAGAATTGAAAGTATAATTTTTATTTTGTTTAAATTTAATCAAGTATAATTACACCAAAAGAGTTATGCTAGCAATTCTTAAATATGTTTTTGTTTGAAGTAAATAGAAACTTGTTTCTAATTTTTTGATAATAGATTGACATAACTCATCCAATTGCTTTTTACAAAATATTCAAGTATAATTTTACAATGTAAAATTATACTTGAATAATTTTTCTTTCTATGTACAAATATAGAAAGATTTAAAGATGTAATTTACAATATAAAGATTTTTAGGTTGTCCGGATTTAAAATTTAGATTGATAAATTTTTAAAACATATTCTTAAAACTTATTATTTGAAACATTTGACTGAGTAATATTTGTAGCTCAATTAACACACATATATGTTATCATATACACCATTAAGAATTTAGTCAGAATTTGATTTTGAATTTAAATGTATTTAATTTTGGATTAGAGAATAATCACTGCACCAATTTAGCCTGTATTGATTTTTCAAATGGCACTCAACTAGTCAATTTTATATTCAGTGTAGTTTATATATAAACATAAGAACCTATAGGTACTTAGTTAACAAAAATTATTAAAATTATTTAAATATTTTTAATAATTGTAATTTGTATTGTAGATAAGGTGTATAAATTTATATGTAGGTCTGAGTGGTGTTATTGAGAATGCACTCTTTGAAAACAGGACTTGTTGATTTAGCACTTGCTGTGGACAGATATTTCTCAAGCATCTTATAATTAAACTGAACTTTCTTGAGAAGTTTAATGATTAACAAATTTTTATACCTAATTGTAGTGTATTAGAATAAAAATATTTAAGAACCTGTGATTTATCCAGCTATAACTTTAAATTAGACATTATTTCTAATGACATAATTTCTATATTAAAATTAATAAATATATTTTTTGTGAATCATTAATGTTTACTAATTGAAGATTATATCTGAAATGTTTTTGAGAGTGAAAATTTGGCTAATTTTATATTTTCAGATTGGCAGCAAAAGTTGAAACTTTTATGGTGTTTGGAACGTTAGGAAAAAATAATATTACACCAACTATGGTTACATCACAGACAGTTGAAAATATCAAAGAACCATTATTATCTGTTTTATTTGAAACAAATCCTCTTGATAATTCTTGTGATAGTCGAATTTACGTTACTGCTAATCCTTTGGAAATTGTATATGATGCCGTAAGTAATGATAATTTATTAATAGTTTTTTAACTAATAAATTTTTAAATCAATAATTAAAAAACAATTCATTGTTATTAAGGAATAATGAAAAACATTGAATAAATATGTAAAACACTTACATGCAGAGATAATAGATGCAATTGTTTCATATAATGTTAGTTATTTAAGTGAATTTTAATTGAAATATTTTGTATTAATTCACAGACTTCTATTTTTACCTGTTTGTAGATTTCATCCTTGCATTTATACTTAATATTTATATACAAAATCTTATCTGTTCTTTCATTTTTCTTTCATTAACAGTCTTTTAATTTTTATTTGTTTTGGAAAATTATTCTAAATTTCTTGATAGTTTAAATTGCAGAATTTTTAACGTTATCAGCATCCCCGTGAATTTCATTCAATTTCAAAACATTGATATTTTGTCAAATAAGATGGGAGAAGAAATGAAACCTGTTTATTTAATGCTGATTTATAGCATTAAAAAGTAAAAAATTTATTTAATTTATTTTCTGGAATGTAAGTGAATTGAAACTCAAAAATTATAATTATAACAGTTAATCATTTAACCATTAAAATTTAATGGATTGTTCTCAGATTAAATTTTAATGTAGCTGCCAAAGAAAAACAGATTTCACCAATGAAAAGCAATTTGCTCAGTGTTTGTGATTTATTCATTTTTTCCTAAATCTGTATTAAGCAAGTACAGGGTTAGCGAGAAATAATTTTTCCACTTCAGAGAGTTCTGCAGTGCATTCTACTGCTCGAAATGAGATGAAATTTGGACTACAGATAATTCAAATGATGCACTTGATATTTCTTAAATAAAAGAAGGGTACAAAAATCTGTTGATAGGTGGTGCTGGAACACACACAAATATTGAATACGTGTGCACATGTAAATGCTGAATATGTAGCACTAAAACTGCTCAATATGTCCTACTTCATTTTGAACAATGTGCTCTTTAATTGCAAAACCATATTTTTTACAGCTGAACACAGTGAGTCTGCCAGAATATCCATAATATGGTGCTGAATGCTGTTCTTCAGATCTAGCCCAGATGCAGCTCTTCTACAGTAGTCGTTGTCATTCAGGAAACCTCATAATTAAAAGTCACAGGGGGTGATATCCAGCAAGCGAGGAGGCCATACTGTAGGAAAATAACGGCTGATTACCCATGCATCCATGAAATGCTGTCTTAGTATGGTTTTGCAATTAGAGCACATTGTTCAAAATGAAGGAGGACATATTGAGTAGTTTTAGTCCTACATATTCAACATTTACATGTGCATGCATATTCAATATTTCTGTGTTCCAAAGCCACCTATTGACGGATTTTTGTACTATTTTTTTTATTTATTTAAGAAATGTCAAGCACATTATTTGAATTATCTGTAACCCAAATTTTGTCTCATTTTGAGCAGTAGAACACACTCCATAGCTATCTGAAGTGGATAACTTATTTCTCGCTAACCCTGTATTATTAGAGAAGCTTTATTTTTCATCTCTAATTACATCAGTTAAAATATAGATAATGTAGATTTGCTTTGTTTTGAATACTGAAGAAATGTAAATATTTTGAATGTTTTATTTCTGTCTTCAGAGATTGAACATTAAAAGTTTAACACAAGAATACTTCTTCTATTGGATGATATTGTACTTATTCATGTTCATTGTGCAAGAAAAACATTAGAAAAGGCAAATTTTAATTATTTTTCATATTTTATGTGAGGAAACAAATATTAGTTTCCAAAGACTATGGCATCTTCAGTCCATCATAAAGGGTAAGCTTGCAATGTAAAAATTTGATAAAAAATTTGAAAAATGAAGGTAAACATTTTGGAAAGTAAATTCTTTGAAATTTGAAGGAGACGAAACATTCATCTCTAATTTAATGAATTCTATAAATATTTGCATCATCAAAATTTATACAAATTAATAAAATTTTTACAAATTTTGATTATGTAATTTTTGTAGCTGATGTATACTAGAGATGAATCTGCTCTTCTGATTTAAAATTTTAAATCAATACATCAAAACTGCTTTTATTGGAGTAAAAAACAAAATATTAGTTTTTGAGTGTTTTCAAACGTCTTAAGTCTATTATTAAGTATTGGCTCATAGCAAACAACAATTTCACAAAAAAATATGAAAAACATTCTAGAATGCTTTTGAAGTGATATTCTAAGAAACTTGATACCATGTTTAAATGAATGAAAAATTCATAATTCTGCTAATTAAGGAAGCCAAAAACTTATTTTGAGAAATGTTTTTTTAACTTTTTGAGTTTGCTTCAGCTTTGATATGCTAAAGAACAGTATAAGGAATACAAGTTTTAAATAAATAAATGTATCAGAGCTAAAGTTTACTCTAACAGTCAAAAATGTTTCTCAAAATAAAGATTTTTGACTTCCTTAATTAGAAGTATGAATTTTTTTGTTTTTTTTTTTGTTAATGAACATAAAAAACCTATATCAAAAAAGCAATTTTGAATAATTTGAAAGATTTAGATGTCGTCATAATGAAAAGCTTATCCTAACAATCATGTCATTTTGTAAATATTACAATTCTACATGTTCATTTGTGTACAAAAGTGTAAACCATTTAAATATAATTACAAACAGTTTGAATGCTGAGTATAACCAATGAGGATAGATATCATCCCTTTAGGAAGATGTCAACATGAAAAAGACAAATACTCAATTACACATTTTGAACACTGATTTTATTTTAATTATGGAAAAGCACTTTATAATAAAACTTCAGAGTGAATATGATTGAGGAATATCTATCAACCCACATTCCGGTTTATATTAAAGTATATTTACAATTTATACAAACATTATGTGAGATTCGAATAGTCCCTGGGTCTAATTAACAATTTAAATATAAAGTTAAAATTATGAAGTAAAATATTCTTTCATTTTGGGTGTGAAAATATTATTTTCTAACGTGGGAAAACTGATAAAAGAGCCACTTCCTTTAACGGAAGTAGACACATCCTTTTGTTTTCCAGTTATCTATCACAAATCTCACCACCCTGGGAATTGTCGACCCCTCAATAATTCCCCTTTCCTCCAGTCACATGAGAAAATACAAATATGCTGATTGGTCACAAATCATGAGATATAGTCAAAGATCTACATGATTCGGGGAGTACGTTGAAGGATCTCAGAGAAGATTGACGTAGTCCATATTTGCTCCATAAGGCCAACACCCTTAGTCATATCCAATCGAGTATAAAAATGAGTTAATTTAAGAGAAAAGAAGAACTTATAATATTGTGCCAAATAAAGACCTCTCCATGAAACGAAGTATGATCATAGAAGAATACAGATGAAGATAAAGACAAAGCACATTTTGAGGTATTATGATTATCAATGAATTTGTGAGCTCTCTCTCAAAGTGTATATTTTAATTGAACCCATATGCTCTCTCAATCACTCATTTTAATTATTGGATTATATCCATTTTGTATATTTTTGTTTATTCTAGTTTATTAAATTCTTTTATTTATATGTTAAAGAAATGTCTCATCTTTGTTGGAATCAAATCCGTATTATCTCCATACGTGTGTTAATCCGCATAACGGTAAATTGATTAACTGGTGTTGGAATCCTGACGTAGAAACGAAGAATTGTGAAATCCTTTAGTTCCGCTTTAGATATATCCAACTGTAAGTCCCTCTGCCCTCGATTTTCCTTGGATTAGGAAAAGCCATTCTTGTAGACGACCCGAGAACTAGTTTCACCAACTAGCCACCGAATAAGTGGTACCAACAATCCTAGAGGAAAGGTACCCCCCGGCTAATCTCACAATTATTTAGTTTCACAAAACTTGTGGGAAAAAATGTTTTCATGAAAATGTTTTTCTTTTCTCTGATTTAATAGTTTCTTTATTTGAAAGTGAAAAAATTATCTTTCAGGCAATGCAATGATTTATTAAACATATCATTGTATAAAACATCATATAATGATAACATACATGAAGATAAAAACATTAACAAAGCTGAAACAATAATTAAAGCAATATTCATCATTTCTTACTTCTTTGCAGCATGTAATTTAGTAGTTCAAACAAAACTGGCCTTCATCACGTATAAATACAGGTAACCCCCATATAACACGGTACTTCTACAGCACGGACTCACTCTAACACGGTTTGAGAATTGGTACCATCCCCATATAACACGGTACTGTTATAGCACGGATTCACTCTGACATGGTTCGAGAATTTGGTAAAACCCTTGTACAACATGAAATGTAATAAATTTTTACATACTTAAGTAATAATAGTTCACGAAAATTATTATTTTCGTGAACTATTAGTACTTAAGTATGTAAATTTTCTTTTCTCGCCTTCTGTCCATACACATGGTCCTTCTCAAAACTTGTTTCAATGTTGCCAGATCTTGACGCTCTGATTTTGTGTTGCCAGATGTTTTTCCCTTATTCAATACTTTCCGTATTCTTCATAAGTGCTTAGCACCATAAAAGGAAATTTACAAAGATCTTTTAACTAGAAGCAAGCGATCTAAAATTACATACTTTTTGCAAAAGGTAAAGCATGGATCTGAAGATAATGCAGAAAAATGCTCAGAAGATAAGGATAACTTGCCAAAAAGAAAACGCTCTTGGTTAATAGTGCTTTTAGTGATGACGAAGAAAACATTGTTTAATTTATATTAATATGTATCACTTAAGAAAATTTTAATAAAGATATTTATCTTAATTATGAAAATATAATAGCATGTTTTTTAATTTTTGGAACCTAACCCTCCTTTTCGTATTAGTTCTTTGTTTCGTATAACACGGATTCGCATAACACGGCAATTTTTTGGAACGTAACTACCGTGTTATACGGGGGTTACCTGTACT